TGGCACTAGAACCTTCTCGCTCAGGCCCGAGGCCGGGGTGCAGCTTCTGCATGGCTACCGTCCGCCCTGTGCTTTTTCATCGTGACCCTGAGCGCGGAGCTAGTTCGGGGGGCCCTGCTGTGCTGCTTGATGACTGTCACCACGCAGTCAGCTCAGACGTCAGGTACAAGCCGACGTCGGGTGGTCGCCAGTATTACCAGTAACGACTGTGTTACATGCTTGAAAACAAAAAATAGTGATCTTCTTCCTCTTCTTTAAGTCATTTTAAATTCCCTGATCTGCCTTACTCCCTGCTTTTGTGACGGTTGACACATGATTAGATTTCATTCCAATATAGAAAGCCTAAGATAAAAAACCATAGGACTGGGTGCCTGGGTGGCTCAGTCGGTTAAGCATCTGCCTTCGGCTCAGGTCATGATCCCAGAGTCCTGGGATTGAGCCCTGCGATGGGCTCCCTGCTCTGTGGGGAGCCTGCTTCTCCCTCTCCCTCTGCCTCTCTCTCTCTCTCATGAATAAATAAATAAAATCTTAAAAACAAACAAACATAGGACTTGTAATTCAGAAACAGGAGAGAACTGAACTTTTGAAGCAGAAGTCTTGAGAAGAATGAAAGTTTTCAAGCTATACAACTATCTATAGAAAATCTTAATTTGGTTAAAACAAGGTATTCTTTAGTGAAAACCCCTTTGATGATTTGTACATTGATCTGTTTTTGAGCTGCTTATTCTGGAATTATTTTTTTCTAAAGATTAAGTGAAGTTGGCTTGAAGTGTTTGAAGCATATTTAATCTGTTTTAGGGTTGAGTTACTTGAATGCACTTGGCAGCCCGGAAGTGTTTGAGCAGAGAGGTTGACGGCCAAAGTGAAACAAATAAGGACACATCCTCTTCAGTCCCCTCCCTCCCCTCTTACGAGCCCACTCAGTTCTGTGCCGAGGTGGTAAGGCCACTGAAAGGTGACTGATTCCGAAGTGCCTGGGCATGGCGGAGAGAGCTGGGGTGATTCTCAGCGTCGTGCGTGTCCTGGCTTGTGGTAGTGTTTCATATTCCTTTTTCATAATGTTCCTGTTCAAGAATCCATTATTTCAAATAACGCTGGTAGGATCTGTCAGCTCTTGGTCAGTGCTGTGTGCCTGGTGATTCACGTCTCTTCCCTCATTTAGTTCTGCCAACCACTTACAGAATAGATGTTTTTACCTTTCTCGTACAGAGGAGGACGTTGACGCTCAGGGAGGTTACGTGATAGCTAGTCCTAGATAGGCTAGTGTGGTTTCTCTGGAAACCGGGCCTGGGATGAGCATCTTGCTGCAGGTAGTTTGTGTGGGAGGTGGTCCCGGGGAGCAGGAGTGAGGACGCAGAGAGCAAGCACGAGAGGAAAAGCCAAGACAGGGATGCGTTATTAAAGTCGACGCTAGAGCCAAGGGGCTGCAGTTCCCCAAGGATCTCTGGGAAGTGTTCAGAATGCCTCCTAGAATTGTCCATGCAAAGGATGGGAGACTGGAACATTGATACACTGACTTCTGGTTGAGAGCTGTTTTAATTCCCCAGAACTTACGGGCTCTGTGGTTTGAGGTTCCCCGAGACTCCAAGAATACCGAGCAGAAAAACAGAGGTGCAGACAAGAGAACTGGCATCTGCAGGAAGTAGTCTCAGGGATATCTGCTAAAAGGGATAGGACCCTACCAAAACCTGTGCTCCTTCCAGACCATCTCCCTGTAAACAAACCTATGAGATGCGGTTAGTTAGGGTGACATGGAAATACAGAGAATGCCCATAGTGATTATAATAGTGTGAAGAGAAGGCACAGCGTGTAGGTATAATACCTGTAATTGTATGAAGTGGGGAAGGTTTCCTTTTTGCTGGTGTGGCTTGCATGGATGTAGGTTAGAATACAAGAAGAATGCCCAGAGTATTCTAGTACTGGAGACTATAACTGATTTGGGATTAAAAACCTACTCCATTGGGGCGCCTGGGTGGCTCAGTCAGTTAAGCGTCTGCATTTGGCTCAGCTTAGGTCATGATCCGAGTCCCTGGATTGAACCCCTCATCAGTCTCCCTGCTCAGGGGGAGCCTGCTTCTCCCTCTGCCACTCACCCTGCTCATGCTCGCTCTCTCTCGCTGTCTCAAATAAATAAAAATCTTTTTTAAAAAACCATATTCCATTATTGAATTTTTAAGGTATATCATGCATATAGGATTATGTTCTCAGCATTTGTGAAATGTGGTGTTGAATATTGGTGAAGAGACTAAGGCAGAGCACATTGGGCCTTGTAGACCATTGTTCACTAGAAGTTTTAGGTATTTTTGTTGTTAAAAATCACTGCAGGGGCATCTGGGTGGCTCAGTCAGTTGGGCGTCCAACTCTTGATCTCAGGGTCATGAGTTCCACACTGGGCATGGAGCCTACTTTAAAAAAAAAAAAATCACTTGGTAACACCCCAAGGATTTTTTATTGATATATAACTGACATATAACATGGAAGTTTAAGGTGTACGTGTTGATTTAATGCAAGCGTATACTGCAGTCTGATTACCACTGTAGCATCCGCTAACACCTCCATCACCTCACAAAATTATTTCCGTTTTGTGGTGAGAACACTTAGGATCTAGATTCTTAGCAATGCTGAAATATATGTGAGTACTGTTGATTGTAACCACAGTGTTTTACATGAGACCTCTTCTAACTACAAGTTTGTACCCTTTGACCCACATCTCCCCACTTCCCCCACCGCCCAGTCTCTGGTAACCACCATTCTACTCTCCGTTTCCACCAGAGTCCACATCTAAGTAGCGTGCAGGATTTGTCTCTCTTTGTCCGACTTGTCGCACTGTCCGTAGTGTCACAAATGACAGGATTTCCTTCTTCCTCATGAATGAGTCGTATTCCGTTGGTATGCCTATGGACGGACACACACAGACACACACCCCCCACATCCATTCATTCCTGACAGACACTTAGGTTCTTCCCATATCTTGGCTATCATGAATAATGCTCGAGTGCAGATACCTTTTCGATATGCTGTTTTCATTCATTTGGATATGTAACCCAGAAGTGAAAGTGCTGGAGCATAGGGTGATTCTATTTTTAATTTTTTGAGGAGCCTCCATCCTGTTTTCCACAGCGGCTACACCAGCTTGCCTTCCCACCCACAGTGCACGGGGGCTCCCCTTTCCCCGCATCCTCACCAGCACCTGGTATCTCGTGTCTCACAGTGACGGCCATTCTAACAGATGTGACATGGTCTCTCTCACTGTGCTTTTGGTTTGCATTTCCGTGCTGATTAGTAATGTTTGAGCATCTTTTCATGTACCTGTTGGTCATTTGTATGTCTTCTTAAGAAAAATGTTTATTCAGATTTTCTGTCCATTTTGTAATCGGATTTTTTTTTATTATTGAGTTACAGGAGTTCTAACACCCCAAAGATGTGACGCTTCCCAAGGGTAAACTGTGGGGAATAATGTCTTCAGTGAAATTATCTTCAGTGTTTGGGGCCCTCAGTTTATTCCACAACAGTAAGGTAGCGGACATGTTCTGTTCTGCCAAACTCAGCCTAGCGTCGTGTCTGCCACAAGGTAGTTGTTGCAAAATATTTGTGTAAGGGAAATACCTCCAGTTGTCATTTTTTGAGTCTTCCGCCAGTCCGATTTGGGCAGGGGCTGGAACTGATGCATTTTACTTGCAGTGTCCCCGTGTTGCTGCCGAAGAGACCAGCACAGGTGTCTCCGCTCACAGCCTGTAGGGCGGTCGGTCCAGGCCCCGGGCTTCAAAGGCCAACAGCAGGGTGCTGACCAGGCCACACTGCTGTCCGGAGAGTCGGGGAAGGAACCCGCTTCCACGCTCGGTCAGGTTGTTGGCGGAGCTTGCAGGAGGAGGTCCCTGTTTCCGCGCTGGTGCCGCCCCCACCCCCCACCGGGGACTGCTCTCCATCCCTGCACACCGCCTGCGGGCCTTGCCGACCGGCTCCCGAGCTTCAGACCCCGCATGGGAGAATGTCCTTGGTCACATCGCTTTGTCCAGGAACAGTGCAGGGGCCTTGAAGAGCCGGGGCGGGGCAGGGCAGGCTGGCCTGGACGGCCTCTCTTTCTTCACATCAGCCATGCCATGGGACCTAAGCTAATCGTGGCAGGAAAATCCAATGCAGTCACAGTCCGGGGGTCACACGGGGTGTGCGCCCCAGGGGGCCGGGGATCTTGGGGGCCGCATCGAGTGGGTGCCCACTGCAGTGTGAAGCCCAGAGGACCCAAGAATTCATAACCCGCGGCCCACGTATAGGGCGAACGATGGTATACGCCTGACCCAGTATCTCCACAGGGGCACGGAGGACGGTGAGGCCCCAGAAGGCCAGTGCGGGGTTCTTGCTGGCGTGCCGCCGCGGGGGCCGACTGTACTCACGGCTCTTGCCTGCTCGTACGGACTCGGCCTGAACTTGAAGGGTCTCTGCTCACTTTAATTGTAAAGTTCTTTCAGCACGATTCTGTTGACGTCGCGCGTCAGGATGGGGTTAATATTCCTGTCCCAAATTCAGATGGGCCCCGAGGCTCAGGAAGGCTGACGGACGTCAGGCAGGTTGCATGGCTGGTGAGCAGCGAAGCCCAGACCCCCTGTGGCCACTGCACCCCAGCAACTGCGTCCTTGCTCCTTAACTTACTCGGCACTTCCTGTGCGCCCGGCTCCACACTGGGGGAGGGCAGAGGGCAGCCTCTGTCTAGGGCCCTGTCCGCCTGAAAGCTGTTCTGTACGAAGTGGGAGATGTGCTGGGAAGGTCATTGCAGGCGGGGGCAGGGAGGGGGGTGGGCAGCACAGGCAAAGGCATGGGACGGCTAGGGGCTGGCACGCCGGGGGCCAGAAGAAGGGCCCCAGACTGGGGGACAGGAGGCGGCCTGTATCTCCGTCGGGGCACCGGCCTCTCAGCTTGGAGGCTCGCAGGAGTACGAATGTATTCCCATTTCCTGTCTCCCCGCCCGTTCTCAAACCCTGACCCAGAGTATTCTGTTCCCTTAGCTGAACTCGATGCCGAGCACACCCAGAAGGTCCTGGAAATGGAGCACGCCCAGCAAGCGAAGCTGAAGGAGCGGCAGAAGTTTTTCGAGGAGGCCTTCCAGCAGGACATGGAGCAGTACCTCTCCACAGGTTACCTGCAGATAGCGGAGAGGAGAGGCAAGTGGGGGAGAGGGTCGCTGGCGGTGGGGGACGGAGACCGTGGGGCCCAGTCCCCTGCAGTCCATTCTGGTATCAGTCCCCAAAACTCAGAGTGGATGCGTCCTGCCACGTCTGTCTTGTGGTTTTTGCATCTTCCTGTAGCTCTAGGCTTTAGTTGGAGATACTTAGGAAACATAAAATACGTTTTTTTAAAAAGTAAAAAAGGCAAACACCCTTAATTCTACAGCACAGAATAATCTGTTGCTATTTTCGGGGTGGTTCTTTCCCAGTCTGTGTATGTAATCACTGTCACACCATACATAGGTCCAGTCACTGCACGGGGATTATTCCCGGTGTTAAGAATTCCTTAGAAGGGCGCATGTTCAAAGGTGCGTCCTCACTGGCAGGATGTACGCTGTGCTGTGTTTAACCAGTTTCCTAGCTGAACGTGTCAAATCTTTACCTTTATAAATGGTTGTGTGAGGCACATCTAGATGCATAAATGTCTGTCTGCACCTCAGTGGTTCCCAGGAACAAGCGGAGCAGGGGAGGCACCAGGGATGGGGTCCCTCATCCCACCTTTGAGAGCTGGGCGCCTCCGTGGCCGCTTCATTCCTCTCGGGCGGGAGCAGTGACGGCCAGGCCTTCCGGGCCCCCCCGCCTCCCCAGATCTGTCTGCCCTCAGGCTCCTGGGCTCCCCCGCCCCTCACCACACCCCCCGACGTACCTCTGTTACCTCGTCTTTTTATCCTGTGGCCTCCCCCAGGAGAGGCTAAAGAAGTCAAAACCGAGGAAGGAAAATAATGCAGAGAAAACTGATGAGAAGTAATATGTGAATGCCTCGGAAAGTGCCGGAGGACGCGTTGGGTGGCTAAGGCTGCTTTCTTGCGGTGGGTCGGACAGGTTTGAAGATGAGCGTCTTGGTCTCTCCGGACTTGGCTTTCCCTGTTGTATGCCGCCAACCTAAAGTCTGGCTTCATCTAGGAAGGGCAGGCTGCCCGTTTCCTCGGAATACGCACGCTATTTCTTTGCTCCAGGGTTTGGTGCTGGTTATGGAGTGAGCGGCCTGTTTGCTGCCGGGATGTGGGTCCTGTCGTGCGCAGGGGTGGGGTGAGGAGGAGCCCGTCTCAGCGTGAGCCCCTGTAACAGACCCCCTCACACGGGCGGCTTAAACCGTGGGCGTTTATTTCCCACAGTTCTGGAGGCTCCAGTCCAAGATCAAGGTGCCGGCAGGTTTGGCTCCCAGGAGAGAAGCCCTCTTCCTGGGCTTGCGTCTCATCGCACCCCCACGTGGCAGTGAGAGCCCCCCTCGGGCGTGTCTTTGCGGAGGACACTAATCCTCTTAGGGGAGGCCCAGCCCTCCCCACCTCATCTCAGCCTGTTCGCATCCCAAAGGCCCCCCCCGCCCCAGACACTGGCACATTTGGGGGATAGGGCTTCAACATAGGAATTTGGGGGCTACAGGCATTCAGGCCATAGCAGACATACACATCCTTACAGACGTAACCTGCGGATTTGAGCATCAGGAGCCGCTCCTGTGCCATGAGGGCCTGAGGAGGCGGGGCCGCAAAGGGGGCGGCCAACTCTGCGGGCACCTTTGCTCAGCAGACCTTCCCCGAGCCCCTGGGAGCACTCGGCACAGATGGAGGCCCAGAGGAGCAGAGAGAAGGTGGAAGGAAGTGCCTCTCACGGGGAGACCCGATGTGGTGGAAGCAGGACAGGTGCAGAAGTCCCTGCTCTTGTGGATGGCGAGCCCCTGGGGACAGGGACCCTGTGTGTGTGGCCAGCACGGGGACGCGCTCAGCCAGCACTTGGTGAACAGACATCTATTAAATAACAAGGAAGTGAATTTTTATGGTTTTGGACACCTAACAAAGAGGCTTCTTTAAATTTTAAATAAGTGTTGGGCTCATTTTTTTAAGGTTAAAAAAAAAAAAATGGAGTCAGGCACATGCTGCCAATTTGTGTGGTCTTGAAAGCACTGAAGAAGAAAATTGGAAGATTTGGGCTTTTTCGCTTTCTGCTGCAGCCAGAGCTGGAAGGACATTCACAGATAACAAGCATCTCTCCACAGGGCTATTGGGAGCCATCCCTTGGGCTTCCCAGCCTGGCGAGTCCCACACGCCTGTCTTCCCGAGCAGTCCTCTCCCAAGGATGAACGTGGGGAGGTCTCTCGTAGGAGAATCAGTCAAGATAAAAAAATCTCCATAGTGAACATGGTATTTCGGACTCCTTCTTTGGACTTTGGACCTCCTTTGGACTCCTAAATCAGAAATAGTCTGAATTTTTCTCACTTTCCAAAGCATCATTTTTTAATGAAGACAAAGGCATGGGAAATTTTACCCAGAAAAGTATCCGAGTAAAGGGTAAAGGGACCTCGGGCCACCCTGGGTCAGGGTGAGGCTGGAGAACCCACAGAGCGTGGAGCGTCCTGCACTTGGAGACACAACGGCACCGCCAGATGTGCCAAGCTGCGGAGGGGATCTGGGAGCCACCGGCGCCCAGCGGGTCTGAGTGCGGTCAGGGCACGGCAGCCTGGTGCGGTCCGGACCCGGCTTCTGTGGTCTTCGTTGCTGAGAGCCAGGGTATGTTGAGGGTGCAGCTAGTAATGAACAGATCACCTTGGAGACGCCCTGCTCTGTATCTGTGTGTTCCCACAATGGATCTCCGGCTCCCGAGGGGGCCCTACGGGGCTCAGCAGAGTCGAATCCTGGAGCCAGGGGTGCCCCCCGTGCCCTGACTCAGCCCTTGGATGTTCCAGGATGGACCCAGTGCTTGGGAAAGAAAAGGATGTGTGGGCAAGACTGCTAGCAAAGTTAGAAGAGAATTAATAGATAGAAATGCACCAAACTAGAATTCATATAGTGTCCCCCTCCCCCAGGATACGATCTTGACTGGAGGAATATCTCAAACACAGTCATCAGCTTATGGGTTTAACTTTGTATGATTATCTCCCCGTGAGGATTTTATTTAGAACTTGGAAATTTACTGTGACCCATTACACTGGCTTTCATTGAATTAGGAAGTATTTTAATATCCAGAAAAGAACTGAAAATGTCCCATAGTCCTGTTTCCAGTTTTAGCATTTTAATGTTTTTCCAGATTTGCTTCAGATATTTTAAGAAACTTCACGAAATATTCCAGACATACACAGAGGTATAAGGAGTAACATAAACACCCATATACTGTCTCAAAACTCATCTCTTGCAGTGCATTACTTTGGAAAGTGGACTTTTGTGACTGACTTGATAAACTATTGGTATATTTTCAAAAAACAAAAAACAAAACAAAAAAACACCCATGTACTAACCACCCAGCTCAAGAACTAACAGCACCCATACCAGCGAAGGCCCCCCTCCAGAGGGACCAGCCGCTCTCACGGTTCCAGCCACATACAGACGCAGATCAGCGCTGCACTGCGTGCTGGCTTTCTGGGCACGCATTCTGACCGTTGTCCATTCCGGCTCATTTCAGCCTCGTTTGTTCCTTTTCACTCTTAAATAATTTCCAGATCTATTGAATGAATATATGGAAATCTATTCATTCTGTCGATGGTGTTTTCGTTGTTTCCAGTTCTTTCTCACTAAAAACACCACCGTTAAGGACATTCCCGTGTGTCCTGGTACATGTGAAGAGCGTTTCTTTAGGGCCGTGGGTCTTAAACTTGAGCCAGCCTCACCATCACCAGGAGGGCTGCGCACACGGGGCCTGGCCCCACTCCAGGGTTTCTGATCTAGTAGGTCTGGGGTGGGGCCTGAGAATTCGCATTTCTGACCAGCTCTGGGGTGGGGGAACACTAGAGGCTGCTGGCCCCGGGGGCCCCGCTTTGAGAACCGTTTCCTTCGGGTGTATCACGAGGATAGTAATTACAGAGTCATTTGATGTGCTTATCTTTATTTTTACTAGATGGTCAAATTACCTGCCAAAATCCCCATACCCGTTTACACTGTCCCTAGCAGTATGTGCGTGTTCTGATCACTCATCCTTGTCAACACTTGTTAGAGCCAGAGATTTAAGTTTTTACCAATCTGTACGAAATGACCTCTTATTTGGGTTTTTTTGACCTGCATTTCCTTGATTGTCCATAGTCTTATACCTGTGGTATTGGCCTTTGATGATAATCTGAGGCCATCACCTTCACTTGACCCATGGCTTATGGATCCTAGAGTGGCTTTTGCTCAGTGTGTGTTTACTTTAATGTGATCAGCTTTGCCCATTTTATTGTGTATGGTTTGTCCTTTTGCGTCTCGCTCAGGAACTCCTTCCCTCCAAGTAACACACGAGTAGAACTTGGCTAGAGCTGCAAGTTATAGGAACATCCTACTGTGTTTCATATGTAAAGTTTCAGTGTTTTCCATTCCATACTTGGCTCTTAAATCCACCAACCACCAGTTGGTCTTTCTGCGGATCGTGAGGGAAGGACCCAGTTTCGGTACTGTTGTCTCCGCCCCAGCATTCTTCCCCCGCCGCTGCTGGGTGTCTTGTTGCAGTACACGGGGAGTCTGTCCTAGGCCCTCTTCTCTGACCTGTTCTTCCGCGTGTCTAGCCTGGAGCCCCAACCATACCATCTGAATTCTTCAGTAAGCAGCGGTTCTCAAGTGGGGGCAGTTTTGTCCCCCGTCTGCACCGTGGTGGGGCGCTCAGGGCAGGGGCATGCTGCTGGCATCTAGCAGACGGACGGACGGATGGATGCTGCTGGCCATCTGCCAGTAGACAGGACAGCCCCGCGACAAAGAATCCTCTGGTCCAGGGTGTTGGGGCCTCAGTGGAGGAGCGTTTCACAGGGAGTCCTGCACACCCCTGCACAGGTTGGCGCATTCTTTGCAGTTGCCTTGGCCTTCTGGGCCCTTTGTCCTTCCGTAGAAACACGGGAGCGTCCCAGTTTCCAGGTTCTGTGAGAAGTACCCTGCAGACGCTGGCTGCAGCTGAGTTCAGCTCCTACACGGAGGGAGCATCACCCTCCAGGAGCCCTGCTTTGTGCCCACGCCCAGCAGCTCTCCTCACTTCTCTTCCCCGGCGTTGGGGGAACATGCCTCGGACACTGCTGGGGGCGGGGGGGAGGGCGGTCCTCTCTGCGGCAAGAGCTACCCGTGCTTTCCCTTTGATAGTTACAGAGGTTTCTCATTTCTTACTAGTTTAGCAAGTTTTCCACAGAATCCGCCCAGCGCAGATTTGCGTCTGTAGTTTGCAAATACGTTTGCACAGTGGTGCCCGCGGTGTGCATCTCCGTCTCTGGCATTTGGGGCAACCTTTGCTTTGGCCTCCCTCAAATTGCTCGTTTGTGCTGTTAAGCCCTTTGTGATGAATCTTACCCAGAACATTCGTTTTTAAGTGTTTTCTCAAATACTCAACTTTTAGTTTTGTTTTCTATTGAATCTTTAGTTCATGAAGTTCTCTTCCTCAGTGCTGGGGATTTTCAAGTGGTGGTTTTTTGGGTTTTCATCTAATTTAAGTTGACCATCTGCACTTGATTTTCAGGATTCTTGTCTGAATAAGGCAGTCAGAGCTATGAATGTTTCACGAGGTTAAAGTTCACCCCTTTTAACAGAATTCTACAAATTTTGACAAGTAATAGTTTCTTCCTGGCTTTTTCAGATTTTCCATTATGACTTATTTGACTTGCGAAATGTTCAGAAGTGTCTTTAAATAATGCGTGAAGGTGTTTCTAGTTACCGTTACTGATTTCTAATGAACTTCGTTGTGGTTGTCAGAGAATGGGATTTTGATTTTTTTTTTTTTTAATTCAAGACTTAAGAGTTTGCATGTTTCGTGTGTATTTGAGAGCAAGATTCTAAATGAGAGGGTTCTGTATGTACTCATTGCAACAGGCTTGTAAGTTGGGCTGTTCAAATATTCCCTATCACTAAATTTTATAGCGTTTGGTTATGTAATTATCCAAGAAGTATATTAAGCCCTCCTTCCCCTCATGATTATGGATTTCTTAGATCTTCCTTGTCTGCCATTCTTTAAACGTAGCCAGAAATTGTATCATCACACGGAAGTTCTGAATTGTCCTCCTGCCGAACTGAACCTTTATTAAGTACTACACTTTACCCCAATATTTTTGCTTTCCCTTAAAGTGTTTTGTTTCCTATTAAAATTACTGTGTCAGCTTTCACATTGTTTATCTACTTTACATTTTTCTTAAGCTTTTCATGTTTTTTTTTTTTAATGTCCTTATGTTTTAGGAGTGTCTCCTAGGAACGAAACATAGGTAGATTTTAATCACTTTAATTCAGTCTTATTACCTGTTTCAAAACTGGCAAATCTGATTCATTTACATTTCCTGGGCTTACATACGTGGCTTCATTACCATCTTTCTTGGTGCTGTTCGATGCTTGTTAATCCAGTTTTTCTCGAAGTCCTACTCCTGTCCTCTTCAAGACGATGGGACAGAAAGGAAAGGGAGCCTCTGGACCTTTCAAAACTGCAGCCAAAGCAAGGCCAGTAGCCAGAAAAGCCGGGCTGACAGGCCTCCCTACCCATAAAGGAAAACCCGCCTGTTCCCCACCTTTCGGCAGCCCAGCGGCCGGCACCCCCACGGGGCCCGCATCTGACCAGTGGGCACAGTGGGCTGTGACCCGGGCCACACCCGGGCCGAGTCCATGCTGACCACATGGCTTTGGATGTTGCCGTTTCGGGGAGGTCACCTAAGCTTGAGTAAGCTCCCTCCAGCTTAGGGACAGAAGTGATGGGCTCTTTACTTCGAATCTTAGGGTGACCGATAAGGGTGCCGTGCCTCAAGATGATCCGGTCTTCCCTCCCTCCCTCCCCCTGGAGCAGGGCCTCACACTGCATGGGCTCCCCGCACACCCCCTGCGGCTCCTGTCACCAGCGCTCAGTCCTCTAGTACTGGGTACTGCTGTGACCAGCTGCCCGGCCCCTTCTGCCCTGCGTGCCCACGGCCAGAGCAGGTTCACGTGGTGAGCTTTGTCTGACTGAGCTTGTATCTGATCCTTGATCTTAAATGCCACTAACTGTTCTAGAATCTTAGAGATGACATTTCCTCTCACCTCTTTGAACTTCTTACTCCACGGTCTCCTGGCTTCTGTTGTTGAAAAGCTGTCAGACTGATTATTTCCTGCTCTTCATCTGTTCCTTCTCTCTGCCATTCGCCAGCTCCATTGATGGAGGTGAGGATTGCTTTTATCTGTCTTCCTGAGTCTGGTCTGGAAGGTCACCAGCCCCGTGGACTGGCACTGCTCCCCAGCGTCTCTGGTCTTGGAGCCCTGACAGTGTTCAGCGTTTGCGTTTTCCCGCTGTTTCTGGGCCATGTGGGGGAGAGTTGATTCAGTCTAGCATGCTCTTGTGGACTTTCTGTTTGGCCCTCACTCATCTTCCGTTTAACTCCTGCCCAAAGTTCTACATTTTGGTGACTAAAATGTTCCTATCTGAAAGTCATCTGGCTTTTCTCAAATGTTTGTCTTTTAATCCGTTTTTTTTTTTTGATCCATCTCTAAGTTTATTAAAATACTTAAGTCATTTAAATTAAATGGCAGGGGGTGTTACCCGTGTGTGTTTCTACTGACCCTCTCCGTGAGTGGTGGGGCCCCACGTGCTGTAAGCGCTGGGCTGCGCCGAGTTTGCGTGTCTGCGTACCTGGGAGACCCAGGGCTGAGGGTGTGTCTGCATCCAGAAATAATTCATTTCTGCCAGACACTGTCACGCCTGGGATGGTGAAGCCAACGGGCTTGCGGTTTTCTGGGCCACGGAAATAGTAGGAACGGGGCTCCAGACCAGGGGCTCGCATCTCCCCCGGGCCCAGGCTCACTCGCGGTCTCTGTCTCCTCTCGCCCGTGGGCCGGCTCGGCTTTCCTGTAGTCTTGTGCTTTCGCTGCAGGGAGTCTGCAGGCCCTGCCCAAAGCTTGTCTGCCGTCCCGAGCAGAGACCAGACAGAGGCCACCAGGGCAAGGACAGCTTCAGCCGGGGTTACCACGTTCGGGGACAGCTGCGGGCAGGAGGCAGAGCTGTGGCGGCAGGAGGGCTCTCGAGAACGGGGTCCCGCTTGGCAGCGAGGACGGCTGCACACAGGGGCGGACTGTCTGGGGCACCTGCAAGCAGGGAAACTGCCAGAAGGGGTCCCCGGGCACCAAGGCTGGGCGAGGAGGGAGTCACAGCGCCTCACTGGGAGGGGTCCTTGCTCTGGTTTGGAAGGTTTGGGATGGCAGAGAACTTCTGTCTCGCGAGCATGTCAGCCTAATGCACTCAAAGCTCACCCCTGAAAGGGTTATTCCAGACCGAAGGTGTCACTTCCTCTTGCGCCCGTGTCTTCCCAGAGCCCATGGGCAGCATGTCGTCCATGGAAGTGAACATCGACATGCTGGAGCAGATGGATCTGATGGACATCTCTGACCAGGAGGCCCTGGACGTCTTCCTGAATTCCGGCGGCGAAGACAACATGGCACCATCTCCGGTCTCAGGTGGGGGTGACCAGCTCGCACACACTGTCACACTCACACCCGCTCCCTCCAGAGGGCAGGCCTCCGAGGACCGTGGTCAGCCCGTGCCGGTCCTTGAGCTCAGCTGCTTGTCCCGCTGCCCTGTCAGCCACCCGGCCGAGACCGTGACCGCAGCCCACACCCCGTCGGGCCGTCGGGCCGCAGCGGGGCTTGGAAGGCTGTGGGAGTCGGGCCGTTAGGCCGGCCGGCCATGGGGAGCCCCGCCCGCCCCCCCCCCGCCCTCTGCACGTCCTTCCTGGAGCTCTTACTCCGCCGGGGGCTCTGGTTTGGGTGGTGGCTGCAGCCCCCCGGGGCACTTGTCCTCCATCCACGTCCTGCCTTCCCCCGAACTGGGTGTCACGGAAGTGGGCCAGATGATTCTCCGAGGCCCCAGCCCTAGAGCCGGGCTCAGCGTGACACCGTCCCTCAGGCCCGGGGGGGCCGGCTCGTATGCGGGTAAGCGCAGTCCTGGCCCCTCCGGCCGGGGCCACCCTCCAAACCCCAGCCTTCTCGTCAGTGGGTGCTCCCTTTAACTTCGCCACGAGGCAGCACTCTCCCCCGTCCTGTCGTCCCCGGGCGCCGAGGCTGCTGGGAAGGGCGGGAGTGCTGGCCCCTTTCCCCCGGAGTCAGGAGGACGCAAGTCGTGTCTTGGCCAGCTGCACATGACTGTGCCTCCTTTCGGGCCTTTTTAGTTCCCGTGAAGTTGGAGAGCTGCTAAAAGACCAGGGAGGTTTTCTCTCGGCGTTGATTCCCCTGGGTTTTCCTCCCAGGGATATGCGGAAATCCAGATTATGGTGGTTACACGGGCTGCGACGTGAAGAAATGCCGCCTGTGCCTTTAGCCCCGTGCTTTGCTGGTGTGGAAGGCAGGCTTAGCTTGGGGCCCTGGCGCCGCCAGCTCAGTCGGCGTCCCCCGGCTGCCAGGACCGGGGCCCCCCGGACTGCGTGTGCGTTCGGATGGCCTTCCACGGTACTTCTTAACTGCACTGTCTCCATGGCCATTTCTCTTCACTTCGCAGGGCCCGCCTCGGGGGTCGGTCGGCACGACATCGTTCTCCAGGTCCCAAGGGCCGCTGAATCCCAAGCTCTGCGGCCTTCCTCGCCATCCGTCTGCCCCGAGCTGGCTGCCCCAGCCCCCCACGACCATGGCGAGTCCCCTGTTGTCCAGTCTGACGAAGAGGGCGTGGAGGTGGACACAGCCCTCGCCACGTTACACACGGACGACAGCGACTCCTAGGTCTGCACGCTCCTGCCGTCCGTCCCCTCACTGTGCAGGCGGGTGGTTCTTACCCAGTTCGCCAGTAATGTGTGAGAAACTAAGAACAGCTGACAATAAAGTTCATACGGAAGGGCTTCTAACCAGATCCGTCCTTCAGGCCTTGGGGCAGGGAGGGCGGCTCGGGGCCCCCCGGACCACGGAGGGGCCTGCGTCCGGCAGGGCTGGGACAAGAACCCTACGTCCCTCGCTCGGCTCAGCCGCGGAGGAGGAAGCCCTCTGGAGAGACTAAATCTGCGTCCTCCACAGTGAAGCCCGAGTCCGCTTGGGTTTCCTTCCCTCTGTGAGGACAAAATCAACACCCCGCAACTGTCCCTACCTTAACATGAGCACACACATCTGCGCCCAGAGGAGAAGGATCCATCACCCAGATCACTTCTCTGTTCCTCCTCCTGTCAAGAAGCCGGCCACCCAGCGGGGCTCCCTTCAGCAGCGTGCCTGGCCTGCTGGCAGGCTGCTCGGAAAGGAAGAGGTCACAGCAGCCACGGGGGGACCCACAAGGGGGGGGAGGGGCGCCAGCCACCAGGGGTTGGAGCCTCAGCTCCCTGGCTGGGGGGGGTGGGGGGGGCAGCCACCAGGGGTTGGAACCTCAGCTCCCTGGCTGGGGGGGCGGGGGTGTCGGGGGGGGAACCAGACGAGAGCGAGCTCGTTTCATTCACTCATCTTCCACAAGACAGACAAATATCCAAAAAACTTTGTTTTTATTATTAAACCTTGTAGTACAAACCTGAAAAGTAAACAAAAAACTGGCAATAAACAACATGAAGTCCTCCCTCCCGCGGGAGGGTGCAGAGCAGCGCTAATAAATTAAATGTCAAACTGTAAGCCAGAGGCAGAGTTTACTGTCAAAAAGAGGGAAAGTACACAGCAAGGCCATAAAAACCGGACAACCACATTGGAAAACACTTGACTGTTTATGTAATTGTTAAATATTCCAAAAACAGTTCAGTCTTCTGCAACAACAACCAACAAAGTGTAGCACAGGACGCTCCTGACAGTCCCGCTGACAAGCTCAGTGCAACAGGGGCAGCTACGGGCTCGGTGGGTCCAATTACGAAACAAAGAACAGCTTGTGAAAACAGTTCCCTTTTTTATTCCACACATACTGTACACACAACCGGAGAAGGGCAACAGCTACTCCATTATTATTTTGTTGTTGTTGTTCAGTGATGTAAGCAGCACTTATAAATGTTACAAGAAAAACCCTGTAAGCATCCAATCCACCCGATGAAGAAACGGAAACGTAAGGCTTTTCTTCATCTTGTCTTCGCGCCCTCCCCACCCCCCCACCGAGAAAAAGGCTCAAGTATTTAAAACAATTTACAGGCGTATGTACAAAAGGGATGGGATTTTTTTTTTCTTCTTTTTTTCTTCTTTTTGTTACAACATGAAGAGAAAAAATAGACAAGATGAGCGCAAATGCATTTTCACATTCAAACAGAACTGCAGACCTCCTAGTGGCTTTAAGTGTGACCGTCAACGAGACGAACCGAAGAGAGAGATTAATGCTGACGCGTGAAGGTGGGGAACAAGCAGTGAGATGGAGACGGAATGTTAGAAAGATTGCACATCTAGGACAAAGAAGCACTTACGGCTTCGATCACTTTTTTTTTTCCTTTTTTTGTTTTTCTTAAGGATGCTATTGAAGGGTTTTTGATAAAGTAGCCAACAGCACCAAAAAATAACAGAATGGATTTCCTAATGAAATCAGGCACAGGTGTCCCTCACGTGACCCCTCCAAGGCAGGCAGGCGTGTCTCGCTCTCCTCTTTCCCAAAAACAGATGCATAGTGATGTGCTGGTAAAGAGAACCTCGGCGCTCCTCTTCGCGTTTTGCCTCGGGTTAGGAAACTCCGTCCGCCTTCAGCTGCCATGACCGCCCCAAGACACAACATGGGGGTTCTCCGGTTTTAAAAAACTACAAACTCATTTTGCACATGACAGAAGAAAAGACAGCCAGAGTAAAGCCATTTCTTTTCAAGTTTTGTGTGTGTGTGTGTGTGTGTGTCTCCTATCCCTTTTCCTCTCTAGAAAAATCTGCTCACATGACTAATGGTTTTAAAATTTGTTCTCCAAACTTCACCCTCTTCAAAAATGGGTTAAAAAGCCTTTTTTCCCCCAAGTTACCAAAGAAAACAAAAACAAAACAAAACAAAAAAAACAAAAAACCGAAAAGGCTTCTTTTCAGCCACAGGGGCAATACAAATTAATACAGCCCCTCAAGGGTTTTTAAAACAGTGAATATACGGCAGTTTCAAAAATCTGACTGCAGTATCTAGGTATTCTAAGTACAAAAAAAAGTTCAACAGTTTAATGCTAAAACAAAATTAGTTCTCTAAAACCAGAAGAAAATCTTCTTTAGAGCTAGTGCAAAGACAGCTTGAATCCTACAGCAAGTACTCCAAACTAGAATATAATAATTACAAAAAAATATATATCAATCAACACGGGTGTTGGCATCTTCACGACGAGCTCGAAGCACTTTTGGATGAACTGGAGGATGAAAGCCGGGATGGCGGCACGTCCACGGTCGCTCTCTTGCGGGGCCCTCTTTTTGGTGTAGGTTTACTGAGACAGTTCTCAATGCTGCCGTTCTTACCAGATACTTTGCCACAGATCTGATTGACCAGACTGATGATCTGTTCCTGTTCCGGGTCGAAAGGGAGAGAGAATTAAGAAACCAGAAGAGCACGGTCCCAGAACCGCCCAGGGGATGCTTGGCACTGACTCCCCGTCACACGGCGAGCCTGGGACGGCCGAGGGGCCCCTCCGAGCGTGCTTCCCGGAAGCCGGGGGAGGCCCCGGACCGCTCCCCGGGCCTTTCCGAGCAGCAGCGGCCCGAGAACCAGTGAGAACATCGCTCCGGGACAACGAGGCCCCCTCCCTGGCAGCTTAACATCCGTGAAGTCCCGTGACTACAGGCCGCAGGGAGGACGGCGGCCCCCTCGCCGCCGAGCCACAGCCGCCGGCACAAGCGCAGACAACAGCGGGCGCTGTGGGCCCTGTGAGCCAGGCTCAGCACAGACAGACCAGGGCCGCGAGGGAGCCCGGCCCCGCGTGCACCGGGCGTTGGGGGGGGGGGGGGGGGTCCAGCGACCCGACGCTCGAGCCTCCCTTCAGCGGGTCTGCTCATCAATACCGCTGGTACTCCCTCCCCAGCGAGGGCAGCCCGTTCACCCAGGTGCTGGCCTCGAGAATGTGCGCAACATCCACACAACTCCGAACCATCCAGTTTTGTAAAACCGTGCGCCAAATTGTCAAAACGGCAGGTGGCCTGGCCTGCATGTCACGAGCTCCTGCCCTGGACCAGGGATGGAGGAAACCATGTGGACACGGGGGCGGCAGAGGCCTTTCCTTTACTCTAAGGCCCAGGGGTCAGCTGCGTCCCAGGCCGGCCCTCCAGCACCAGGAGGCTCTCATCACAGGGGTGGAAGGTCTCAAAGGGGAAGTGAAAACCGTCTGGAAAGAAAGTGAAAAGCACCCTGGAAGGAACAGGGCCGCCCATGTATGAAAGCACCGTTTCTGCCCATTTTTAAAAGCACTTTATGGCAAACCTGCTAATTGAGGGTAAACAGAGGAGCTTCTTTAAAACCTGGTTCCAAGTGGCCAAAGCCTCCTGGCACCACGGGGCCGGGCAGCGCCCTCCCTGCATCCCACCAGACAGCTGCCAGGGAGGCCCGGCGGCTCCCCTCAGGCAGCCCAGGAGGCCTGACCGGCCTTGCGGGACCTGCAGGGTCCTCACAAGCCATCTCTAATACCCAACCCAGAGTGAGCCGTTCCCCAAGGAATGAACGTGCGCGCGTACACGCCCACACACCACACACACCAACCCGAGGAGTGACGGATTCGGACTTACTAAGATGAGGCCACCGGCAAAGGAAGCGGCTTCGAATGCCCTTCTTCTTACTCATCAAAACCACAGATTAAGCCCCAAGAAGGACCCGACAGACGTGATTCTCTGTCTGGTATTCTGGTCCCACACAACACCTGGCTACCCAAGACGGGCGGAAATGGGCGAACCCACATTCTGGAAAGCCTCACGGCCAGGTGGCAGCGCCCCGCGAGCTAAGCGGCTCCGGCTCGGCATCTGCTGCCGACGCGAAGCACCAGGGAGGCCAAAGCACCTGCTGCCTTCAAGCTCCCACTTTAAAAACGAGACCCACGTCTATTTTCAGCTTTTCTATCCCATTAGCTGAAGGCTTCCCCCCCCCAGCCCGGCCCACAGCCTGAGCCCCGCAGATGCACCATCCCCCCCAAGTCCCACCTGGGGCTCCACTGGATGTGAGGACAGTCACCTCCCACAGAAGCAGCCACGAGGCACAGGACAGAGGCTCCGCACGGAGGGCGTCTGTGGGAGGAGGACCCCCCCCCCAAGGACATAGCGCGAGGGCCTGGAGGACAGGCGTGTGCTGCCGAGGACAGGTGACACAGCACCACTGCTGGTGGAAAGGTGGCCCCTAGGAAGGGCTCTGGGGCCGTGACGATGTGAGCAGTGCATCCGAGGGGCAGGGCCGCGCACCCTGGGAGGCTGCAGGGTGAGATGCGGAGGCGCAGGCCTGCCGCCTGTGCGGGGACAGCCCCGGAAGCACTGCCATCTGTGGCCACAACCGAGCCACAGAGCCGGGGCTGCAGATGGCGTCCGTCCCCGAGGACAACGGGCAGCTCTCACAGGACCAGGGCAAGGGACAGAGGGAAGGACCCACAGGGGACACAAAAGCACAGCAGGGACTTGTGGAGTTGGATGCCAAAGGAAAAAGGCCCCGAGTGTCCAGAGGCCCCTGAGGAGGACAAAGCCAGCTGCCAGCTTCCAGAGCTGGCCCTTGGCCTCGTGCCCCGCTGGGGGTGCGCCCCAGTTCTCAACTGAAGGTGGGAGAGAAGAGACTGGTGCAGTCTGCGACCCACACAAGGCAGGAAGGCAGGCGGCCCCGCGAAGCACTCCCACCGCCCCCCCCCCGCCTGGCGCATGCTCATTCCCGGGGCAGGGGCATGGACTGACGCAGGGGAGTGCCCCGCGCGGAGCCCGCCGAACCTGCCCTGCAGGCCGCACACTGTGGGGAAGGGACACGGAGCCGACAGAAGGACAGGGCTAATTCCCTTGTGTCTCCGGGGC